CCGCCCCTGGCCCCCAATAAGCGACCCTCACTTAGCCCTGGACGACCCTGTGCAAGCAGCAACAGGACACAGGACAAACGGCAGGTCAGTTCCTCTGAAATCCCTCAGCATCATACATTTGCACTCACCTTCCTCAAATCTGTGCCTCAAGGTCACCTTCCTTGACCTTGCCTTATGTAATACCCAGACCCATGGCACCCTCATCCCCCTTACCCGGGTTTATTTCCCCCCCTTACCAGGAATTACCTTCTAACATACCAGATAATTTACTTATATTATGTCCATGTCTGTTTCCCCCGCTAGAGTAAGAGCTCCAGGAAGGCAGGGGTTTGAGTCTGTCTTGTTCATTCCTCTATCTCTAGCACTGGGCACGGTACTGGGAATATTTAGGAACTATTTAGTAAAATAGTCAATGTTTAGTAAATGAACAAGTCCCGAAGGCCTGGTGGGAGTCACCTTGCTCGTGCTGCAGCAGGGGCGGGGTGGATGTTAAACCCTCTGTGGCTCCTCTGCAGTTCTTAGTGGTGGAGGGTCAGGGACAAGCTGGATCTGGCAGCATATGGTTTTGGGTGGAATCACTACCAGGGAGGAGACAGCTACCAATGCTCATTACCTAGCTGGTAGCTGATCTCCATTTTTCATTGTTTTCAAGCCCCTGGATCCAACCACGCCTGAAGCTTCAATTTTATTTTTTAAAATTTATTTTTTTAATTGAGATATAATCGACTTATGGGTGTACAACATAATGATTTGAGATATATATCATGAAATGATTGCCTGCTTCTGTTTTCATTACCACCACTGGGGTGCCTTCCATCCCACTCTCAGTGGTTTCCTGCTCCTACCCCCAAAGCCGAGAGAGCTGCCTCGGCTGTGTCCCTCCTACAGCAGGACCATACCCCCGACCCCCTGCAGGGCCCCGCTGGCAGGGCCCTCCAGAAAGCAAGAGCATAGCTCCCATCCCCAACACTGTCAGCAGTGACTGCTCAGACAGATAACAGATGAGTGTCCCAGGGGAGCCAGTGAGGATAGGAGCTGGCTTTCCTGTTTTGGTTACATTGCAGCCCGCAGGGAGGGACTGAGGCAGCTGTGGGCTGACGTTGATAGTGTGTCCGGGCTCTCGCTCTCTCTCTCTCTCTCTCTCTCTCTCTCTCTCTCTCTCTCTCTCTCTCTCTCGCTCTCGTGCGCGCGCGCGCTTTGGGAAAACACCACAGGCTGTCTGTGGCCTTCCCAGCTGGTGCAAAGGGATCTCTCTCTCGCTCTCTCTCTCTCTCTCTCTCTCTCTCTCTCTCTCTCTCTCTCTCTCTCTCTCTCTCTCTCTCGCTCTCTCTCTCTCTCTCTCTCTCTCTCTCTCTCGTGCGCGCGCGCGCTTTGGGAAAACACCACAGGCTGTCTGTGGCCTTCCCAGCTGGTGCAAAGGGAGGCGGAAAACACACAGGGCGGTTATTTATTTATTGATCTAGCCCCCTGACCTGCTCTGTGGGGGCTGAGCTGACTCAAGCTGCACACATTCTGTATACAGCACAGTCAGCTGTTCTCCTCACTCACAGATGCAGGCTGGGGTGTGGGTGCTGTGAAGGGTGCTGGGGGCAACTCAACCCCGTGGATGCACAGAAGTTTTGTCTGGCCAGGTGAGAAGGGGCACTGCCTGGGTCCCAGACTAAGTACTGTCGGTACTACAGGCCCTGGACTCCTGGGGATTCTCTAGCAACCAGAGACCCTCTCTGGGCTCCGTAGGATGCTCAGGGTTCCCTAACAAAGGGAAGTGGGAGAACTTGTAGACTGCGTGGTGGGTAACACTGCCTGCTTACCATCCATCTGCCCCTCCTCTGGTGGCACTGCCAGCCTCCAGCCACATGTTTGGGTGAGGCTGACCTCGCCACCACCCAGAGGGATGGGGAGGGTGCATAACGCTGGCCTGGCCAAAGTGACTGGCCACCGTGATTAGTTCAGGGATGGCATATGACCCAACTGGGTCAGTTGGAACCAACTGATCGTGTTGAAGGAGAAGCATTTTCTTTGGTGGGTGCCCCTGAAGGGTGCCTGGAACTACTGTCACCATGAGACAATGGTTCCAGCAAGGTAGAGAATGGGAGCTGAAGGTGGCGAGAATAAGCCTCAGGTGCCAAGGACAGGTAGAAAGGGAATGTTGCCTGCCATGCCAGTAAACAAAGAATGTTGCCTGCCATCAAGCCATGAGCCACTGCAGTCACCCCCAACAGTGCACCCTGAGGGGAATTTGGGATGGATGAAAACAGGAAGCATTCTGTGCTCTGGATACTGGCCTTAGATAGTCAAGATGCATATCTAAGGAATAATTTCAATGAGACCAGATTCTTGCATCTTTCCATTCATAGAAAAGCACTAAAATCATTAACTTAAGATATCTGGGGCTTCCCTGGTGGCGCAGTGGTTAAGAATCCGCCTGCCAATGCAGGGGACACAGGTTCAAGCCCTGGTCCGGGAAGATCCCACATGCCATGGAGCAACTAAGCCTGTGCGCCACAACTACTGAAGCCCGCATGCCTAGAGCCTGTGCTCTGCAATAAAGAGAAGCCACTGCAATGAGAAGCCCACGCACCGCAACGAACAGTAGCCCCTGCTCGCTGCAACTAGAGAAAGCCCGTGCGCAGCAACAAAGGCCCAACACAGCCAAAAATAAAAACAGATAAAATAAATAAATTTATACTAAAAAAATATCTGTTTTTTTGTGATTAGCAGTAATCTTTTGATGTTAGACTACATGTTTTGTTTTGTTTTGTTTTTCCAGCCAAAAACTCCTATGTATCCTGGTTCCTCCCTTACCTCTTTGGAGCAGTTCCTCAGAGCTATCTGAGAGGCTGTCTCCCAGGCTAGAGTCCTCAGTAAGGTGCCTGTATAAAACTTAACTCACAACTTCTAGGTTGGGCATTTTTCTTCAGTTGGCAGACATTTTCAAGCTTCTGGATCCAGCCATGCTAGAAGCTGACCCTACCCTAAGGTTTTCAATGACATGAGTCAATACACTTCCCTCTTGCTTAAGCTGGTTTGACGTGGGTTTCTTTTCCCTGGCCACTCAAATGCACCTGATGAAGGGAACAGGTCACTGGCTCAGCATTACAGGGGCCCCCAGGCATCATTTTTAGCCCTGGGAAACTGCAGGGCCCCAGGCTGACAAACACACTAAGCTCCCTCCTCCCAAACCTACATGCCAACACACAAGGTACAGACCAGATCACCGTTTCTCACATGCAACAGGCACGGGCAGTCCCAGAGCATGCAGATGCAGGGACCCAGTTCCGAATACCGAGCGGGGAGGAAAACTCTGAGGTAGGCACCTTGACGCCAGCTGATGGCATACAGGTCCCCCAGAGTCCGGCGGCGGCCCATGGGCTGGGGCAGAGACCAGTATCTCCATGAGACTGGATGGGCAGCATGTGGAGGCGAAGGGCAGAAGGCAGAGGTAAGAAGAAAGCAGTTCCAGTGTCTTGAGGCAAAGGCGGCACCAAGCACATGCTCCCACTTAGGAGCAATTATTTCTGCGTCTATGCCACGCCCCAGGTGTCTCAGAAGGACCAAATTCCTGAGTACTAACCTTGAACTTGAGTGAAGAGCCACCCAATAGACACAATGCTATTCCTAGCATGATTATAAAGAGGCACTAAGAGAAGCCCTCATGGCAGGGGGAAGAAATGTACAAACCCTTAGGAAAATGTGGTCTCTCTCCCATCTTCTAGCTGTGTGACCCCGGGCAAGTGTCTCTACTTTCTGAGCTTCTTTTCTCATCTGTAAAATGGGGACAATAATCAGTCCCTTACAGAGACATGCCCCGTGGTAGGAATTATTAACTGTCTAAGGGAGCTATAGTTTCCACACAGCACTTGACTACCCCTTAATCTGAGTTGATTTTTGCACTTTCTCCTCATTAGAGCCGCCCCTAGAGCCTGGCGGGCCCCACAAAAGCAGAGCAAAACAAAAGGCATTTTTCTCTGCGGGTGCTGGCTGCAATAAAACTAAATGCAAGCCACATATGCATTTTTTTTTTTTTTTTGCTAACCTTTGAGCATAGAAATATCCCTTCTCCTTACCCTCTTTTCTGTTAAATACATACTCAAGTGGCTTTGTGTTTTCTAAACGGTCAACTAAAAGCCCCAAATATTCAACCCTAGGTAAGGCATAGCTCTATGATAATAACTGTTCCTAGTTACTCATTGTTTTAGGTTCTTTGCCAAGTGCTTTGCATGTGGGATCTCATTTAATTAAAAAAAAAAAAATCCCATGACGTAGATACCATCGTTTCCATTTTTAGAGGAAGTGGCTGAAGCACAGAAAGGTTAAGTTGCTGGCCCAACACCACTCAGCCAGTAAGTGGTACAAATTCAAATTTGGTGGTGAGAGTCAAATTCAGGTCTGATTCCAAAGCCCTCCTGTTTATTAGCTAAAGTGAACTCATACTCTAGATTTAGGAATGCTCCTGGGGGGAAATGGGAGTGGGCTGAGCCTTAAGATTTCTGACACAGTGGGAACCAGTCTTCAGGATACTATAGGGAAAGTTCTCTGGGAAACAGAAGTGTGTGTGGGTGAGTGGAGAGGGTCAGCTCTGATCCTGACACCCAGTCAGGGCCATTAAACCAACACAGAAAGCAGACAAAGCAGAGATCTTTACGGATGGCTTCCGATGCCTTGTAAATAAGCTTGGAGCAGCCCCAGCACCTTGGCCATCAGGATAATTCAAGGGAGGAAGAGTGAGGTGTTGACAGCGATCTGGCTGGGCGCCACCGAGGTCCCATGGAGGTATCAGGGCGCCAGCTCCAGCCAGGCTCACCTGGGTTGGCTGCCCAAGGCCCCTGAGAAAGAGCGGGCTTGCTCTGCCCAAACCCCAGGGCCTGGCTTCATGTCCACAGGCTCTAGTCCAGGAGGCTGGGAGGCAGAGGCTGAAGGGAAGGGATTGGGTGCCGCCAGCCCTCACGGTCTCCCCAGTGAGCCCGAGGCCCCGGCTGCTTCCTACCTTCTTCAGGCTGTAGGG